TCTGTTGCGTTGGGAATGTCGCGGGTGGAGTCTTTTGGTGGGAGATTCTGTGGGGTGTGTTTGCCCTTCCTCCTGTGTCTGGGTCCTGCTCATTTTCATTGCTTCTCGTTCCTCCTTGCGTCTCTGTACCCTCTCTTTCAGTGTAGTCCTTTCTTCTTGTGTTCATTCGCGGTCGAGGTATACTCTCTGGTACCCCTCTTTGTCCCTCAGTCTTGCTTTCTCTTGCAGAATCCTGGTTCGAACTGATTCTTCCTTGAAAGTTACTCTGACAGGCCGTATCCTTCCACTCGCAAACCACCCAATGTGTGTGTGTGTGTGTGTGTGTGTGTGTGTGTGTGTGTGTGTGTGTGTGTGTGTGTGTGTGTGTGTGTGTGTGTGTGTGTGTGTGTGTGTGTGTGTGTGTGTGTGTGTAGTGTGTGTGTGTGTGTGTACTCACCTATTTGTACTCACCTATTTGTGGTTGCAGGGGTCGAGTCCTAGCTCCTGGCCCCGCCTCTTCACCGGTTGCTACTAGACCCTATCTCTCCCCGCTCCATGAGCTTTATCAAACCTCGTCTTAAAACTGTGTATGGTTCCTGCCTCCACTACGTCATTTTTCTAGGCTATTCCACTGCCTTACAACTCTATGACTGAAGAAATACTTCCTACTATCTCTCTGACTCATTTGTGTCTTCAACTTCCAATTGTGGCCTCTTGTTTTTGTGTCCCCTCCCTGGAACATCCTGTCCTTGTCCACCTTGTCTATTCCACGCAGTTTTTTATATGTCGTTATCATGTCTCCCCTGACCCTCCTGTCCTCCAGTGTCGTCAGGCCGATTTCCCTTAATCTTCTTCATAGGACATTCCCCTTAGCTCTGGAACTAACCTTGTTGCAAACCTTTGTACTTTCTCTAGTTTCTTGACGTGCTTTATCAAGTGCGGGTTCCAAACAGGTGCTGCATACTCCAGTATGGGCCTGACATACACGGTGTACAGTGTCTTGAATGATTCCTTACTAAGGTGTCGGAATGCTGTCTCAGGTTTGCCAGGCGCCCATATGCTGCAGCAGTTATCTGATTGATGTGTGCTTCCGGAGACATGCTCGGTGTTATACTCACCCCAAGATCTTTCTCCTTGAGTGAGGTTTGCAGTCTTTGGCCACCTAGCCTATACTCTGTCTGTGGTCTTCTGTGCCCTTCCCCTATCTTCATGACTTTGCATTTGGCAGGATTTAAATTCGAGAAGCCATTTGCTGGACCCAGGTGTCCAGTCTGTCCAGGTCTCTTTGAAGTCCTGCCTGGTCCTCATCAGATTTAATTCTCCTCATTAACTTCACATCATCTGCAAACAGGGACACTTCTGAGTCTAACCCTTCCGTCATGTCGTTCACATATACCAAAAATAGCACTGGTCCTAGGACCGACCCCTGTGGGACCCCGCTCGTCACAGGTGCCCACTGTGATACATCATTACGTACCATGACTCGTTGTTGCCTCCCTGTCAGGTATTCTCTGATCCATTGCAGTGCCCTTCCTGTTATATGCGCCTGATGCTCTAGCTTCTGCACTAATCTCTTGTGAGGAACTGTGTCAAAGGCCTTCTTGCAGTCCAAGAAGATGCAATCAACCCACCCCTCTCTCTCTTGTCTTACTTCTGTTATTTTATCATAAAACTCCAGAAGGTTTGTGACACAGGATTTGCCTTCCGTGAATCCGTGCTGGTTGGCATTTATACTCCTGTTCCGTTCCAGGTGCTCCACCACTCTCCTCCTGATAATCTTCTCCATAATTTTGCATACTATACACGTCAATGACACAGGTCTATAGTTTAGTGCCTCTTTTCTGTCTCCTTTTTTGAAAATGGGAACTACATTTGCCGTTTCCATACCTCAGGTAGTTGCCCAGTTTCCAGGGATGTGTTGAAGATTGTGGTAAGTGGTACGCAACATATCTGCTCCCTCTCTAAGGACCCATGGAGAGATGTTGTCCGGTCCCATTGCCTTTGAGGTATCGATGTCCCTTAGCAGTTTCTTCACCTCCTCCTCATCTGTATGTATGTCGTCCAACACTTGTTGGTGTATTCCTTGTTGGTGTCCCCATCTGGTCTGTCCCCCCAGAGTCCTTCCTGTCTCTACTGTAAATACTTCCTTAAATCTCGTGTTGAGCTCCTCACATACCTCTTGATCGTTTCTTGTGAGTTCTCCACCTTCTTTCCTCAGCCTTATCACCTGGTCCTTGACTGTTGTCTTCTTCCTAATGTGGCTATACAGCAGTTTCGGGTCAGATTTGACTTTCGATGCTATGTCGTTTTCATACTGTCGCTGGGGCCTCCCTCCTTATCTGCGCATACTCGTTTCTGGCTCTTCTACTAATCTCCTTGTTTTCCTGGGTCCTATGCCTCCTGTACCTTTTCCATTCTCTGTTGCACTTAGTTTTTGCTCCCTACACCTTCGGGTAAACCAAGGACTCGTCTTGGTCTTCCTATTATTTCTGTTTCCCTTGGGAACAAAACTTTCCTCTGCCTCCTTGCACTTTGTTGCCACATATTCCATCATCTCGTTTACTGATTTTCCTACCATTTCTTCTGTCCCACTGAACCTCCTGCAGGAAGTTTCTCATATCTCATACATGTGTGGTGTGTGTGTGTGTGTGTGTGTGTGTGTGTGTGTGTGTGTGTGAGTGGTGTGTGTGTGTGTGTGTGTGTGTGTGTGTGTGTGTGTGTGTGTGTGTGTGAGTGTGTGTGTGAGTGTGTGTGTGTGTGTGTGTTGTGTGTGTGTGTGTGTGTGTGTGTGTGTGTGTGTGTGTGTGTGTGTGTGTGTGTGTGTGTGAGTGTGTGTGAGTGTGTGTTAAGTTAAGTTAAGTTTAATATGTTTATTATGCACCCCATACCCATCCAGTGGGCGGTAGTCAAAAGATTACAGAGGTACATAATGGGTCCAGGGACTGGGCCTCAAAGTTTTGATAGCTGAGCAAGTTACAGAGGTAATGAATTCACAATTTACAAAGGTAATGAACTCACAATTTACAAAGGTAATGAACTCCAGGTAGGTCTAGTCACAATCATGACAAGTTACAAAGGTATTTACAGATTACAGAGGTACACAATGGGTCCAGGGACTGGACTCCAAAGTTTTGATGGCTGAACTAGGTACAAGGTAATGAACTCACAAGTTACAAAGGTAATGAATACTGTAAGAATGGTTACTTACGTTTATACATGAGTGTGTGTGTGTGTGTGTGTGTGTGTGTGGTGTGTGTGTGTATGTGTGAGTGTGAGTGTACTCACCTATTTGTACTCACCTATTTGTGGTTGCAGGGGTCGAGTCCTAGCTCCTGGCTCCGCCTCTTCACCGGTTGCTACTAGGCCCTCTCTCTCCCCGCTCCATGAGCTTTATCAAACCTCGTCTTAAAACTGTGTATGGTTCCTGCCTCCACTACGTCATTTTCTAGGCTATTCCACTGCCTTACAACTCTATGACTGAAGAAATACTTCCTACTATCTCTCTGACTCATTTGTGTCTTCAACTTCCAATTGTGGCCTCTTGTTTCTGTGTCCCCTCCCTGGAACATCCTGTCTTTGTCCACCTTGTCTATTCCATGCAGTATTTTATATGTCGTTATCATGTCTCCCCTGACCCTCCTGTCCTCCAGTGTGGTCAGGCCGATTTCCCTTAATCTTTCTTCATAGGACATTCCCCTTAGCTCTGGAACTAACCTTGTCGCAAACCTTTGTACTTTCTCTAGTTTCTTGACGTGTTTTATCAAGTGCGGGTTCCAAACAGGTGCTGCATACTCCAGTATGGGCCTGACATACACGGTGTACAGTGTCTTGAATGATTCCTTACTAAGGTATCGGAATGCTGTTCTCAGGTTTGCCAGGCGCCCATATGCTGCAGCAGTTATCTGATTGATGTGTGCTTCCGGAGACATGCTCGGTGTTATACTCACCCCAAGATCTTTCTCCTTGAGTGAGGTTTGCAGTCTTTGGCCACCTAGCCTATACTCTGTCTGTGGTCTTCTGTGCCCTTCCCCTATCTTCATGACTTTGCATTTGGCAGGATTAAATTCGAGAAGCCATTTGCTGGACCAGGTGTCCAGTCTGTCCAGGTCTCTTTGAAGTCCTGCCTGGTCCTCATCTGATTTAATTCTCCTCATTGTGTGTGTGTGTGTGTGTGTGTGTGTGTGTGTGTGTGTGTGTGTGACTCAACAATCAATATTTGCACCAATAGCTCACTACAGTTGTGACCGGGTGTGGAAGTGTGAATTGCTCATTACTCTAAAATTTGTTCATGATTGTAGCCAAAGTATAAACGTAAGTAACCATTCTTACAGGATTCATTACCTTTGTAACTTGTGAGTTCATTACCTTGTACCTAGTTCAGCCATCAAAACTTTGGAGTCCAGTCCCTGGACCCATTGTGTACCTCTATAATCTGTTAATACCTTTGTAACTTGTCATGATTGTGACCAGACCTACCTGGAGTTCATTACCTTTGTAACTTGTGAATTCATTACCTCTGTAACTTGCTCAGCTATCAAAACTTTGGAGTCCAGTCCCTGGACCCATTATGTACCTCTGTAATCTTTTGACTACCGCCCACAGGATGGGTATGGGCTGCATAATAAACATATTAAACTAAACTATAATATCTTATTCAGTAAAGTAGTAGTGGCTTTAATTATGTTTTTGGATAAAAGATTGCAATGCATGGAAGTAAAATATACGTTAAAAGAAATCAGAGAATATACTGTACTATCGAAAGAAATTAAAAATAATTTCATAAATGTATTAAATATATAATTATTGTCATTGTTAGTTATTATTATTAACATAGTCTAAACTTCAACTGTTCGTCTCACCTCAAAACTTTAAATAAATATCTTAGTGCTTGTCTTGGACCTACTACTATGTGACTTTCTAATTTCCTCTATGCCTTTTGTGGAAGCACAAATATAGTGAGCTAACAGAGAAGTGTTGACTCTGCAAGACCTTGGCCGTCTGAGGTACACCAAGACTCTTACCTTCTCCCTCCACAACTCGTCCGAGTCCTCGTAATCGTACTCGCTGAAGACATCCTTAAGTCCTTCTTTCTTGATGTCGCCCTCCAGCGGTGAGGCAGTATTTGTTACCACCAGCGCCAACGTGAAGACTAAGATGAGTGGCATCGCCATGGTGGCAAGCGTAGGACGAACAACCATGATTCTTCCTCGTTTATGGTATCTCTCTTTCTTACTATTCGCTCTTACAACAGTTCCACATCTTCCTTGCAGGTCATTATTCACATCACTAATTACTTGTGTATTGATCATTATATGTTAGAAAATCTAGTGTTCATTTCTTTTTCCAGTGATTGTCGAAAATCCCAGTAGACCTATTATATATTTATTAACTAAAAGATGCATATATTACTCTGAGCTTGTTGTTACTTAATGTTCAAAATCACCACGAGTTGCTAAACTTGACACTTTTTTTTTGATTTTGCCTAACACGTATATTCATTACAGTCCTAATAGGAACTTTTCACTATTATTCATAATCTAAATCAAATTTTCTTTGTGTTATAGAGTATAGACTAATATATTACATGTTAACACCACATGCAAGGTTGTACATGCATGCATATTAGTTTCCAGACTATTCTTAAGTTAAGCAGTTCTTTCATAATATCCTTGGCTAAGCACTCTTCATACAATATCCTTAAATGAGCGCATATCTGACAAATATTAAAATCACAACTAAGCTCTAAATCCCCAAGAGTCATGCAGTTCTTACGAACATATCCTTATTTAAGCAGTTATTGCAGTGGTATCCTTAGCTCAGAATTGTTCTTGTACTGCTGACGAGTCTACATTTGCCAGAAAGATTGTGGTAATGGATTTTTTTTTAACGTTGATCAGAGTAGCAGCAGGATGCGGTCGTATGGATGTCTCGTAGTGTGGAGTTTCTGAGAGAGATGTTTCCTCTGCACCTCCTGGTGCAGATATCTTATACCAGGACATACTGACGCCTCTTTATGTACATGTAAGAGCGGCCACTGACCTCTACTGCCTTGTTGCAGTCAACTTCCATTACCGGGACATCGAGGTTGGTTCAGCATTCCCATTAGGAGCATCGTTATGTAATACAATAATCAACAATAGTTTCTTCGATGTATATCTTGAATGACTCGTGGAAGAGTCATGGTACACAAGGTGATATATGTGAAAATGAAGCGTCAATTGATGTGGGCGAGACGGACCCCAGCAGCGTCACTCCAGGTCCTACTTGAAAAATACAGCTGCTCAAAGGGACGTTCACCCCAGCATACCTCAAGCACAGCATTCAGTTGTTGGTGTATATATATATTTACGTGTGATTCTCAATGTCTTGTGTGTGTGTGTGTGTGTGTGTGTGTGTGTGTGTGTGTGTGTGTGTGTGTGTGTGTGTGTGTGTGTGTGTGTGTGTGTGTGTGTGTGTGTGTGTGTGTGTGTGTGTACACGTACTCTTCTAGTCGTATTCTGTTGCCGGAATCAAGTCTTAGCTCCTGCCCCTGCCTCTCAGTTTACGAGCGGTCAAATTCACGGGTCCTATTATCTGCTCCCAAAATTGTGTGCGGACTGTTTTCACCACTTCCTGGTTTAGATCGTTCTTCTGCTTAACTACTCTCAGACTGAAAAAAACATTTTGTCATTCCTACGACTTATTGGTTTCTTTAAACTTCCTCTGTGATACCATGACCAGGCAGGGGCTCCATGCTTGTGCTGCATACTTCATGATGGGCCTGACATAATATTTTGTTGTGTACAGAGTCGTAATTTTTGTTGTTGTTGGGAAGAGTAGAAGAGAGGACCTGCTTACCAAGAAAACAGGATATCTTTTTGTCTGTTCCACGGAGTCCTATTAGTATTTTATACGTCGTAATCATGTCTTTCCCTGACTCTTCTCTTTTTAAGTATTGTAAAGGTTGAGTTCCTTTAGTGTTTCTTTGTAGGTCATTCCTCTTAGCTGTGTGACTAGTCTTAAAGTGAATCTCAACTGTCTGAAAACAATCTTGAATTATCTTTCTGTCTATTCACCGATTTGTGATTGGGGGTTGAATTTTGGTTCTTGTGTATGTGTTTGTACTTACCTGTATGTTGTTACAGGTGTCGATTCACACCTCCTGACCCCACCTCTTCGCTGGTCGTTACTAGGTCTACTCCGTCTTCAAGAGCCTCGTCGTACCTCTTCTTAAAGCTATGTATGGATCCCGCCTCTACCGCTTCACTCTCCAGATTGTTACACTTCTTGACAAGTCTAAAGCTAAAGAAATACTTTCTAACATCGCTGTGACTCATCTGAGTTTTCAACTTCCAGTTGCGTCATCTTGTTCCTATTTCCCATCTCTGAAACATTCTGTTTCTGTTTACCTTGTCAGTTCCTCTCAGTATTTTGTACTCATTATCACATCATTCCTAGTCCTCCAGTGTCATCAGGTTGAGTTTCATTTATTTATCCTCATGCTTTAAATAAAAACACATGTTCAACTTAAACAAAATATGATCAATTTCTCTAGTATTAAGTAGTCTGTACGTCATTAATTTAGTCTACCTATAATGCCATGGCATGATAGTGGCTCTCTTCGCACTGCAACTCATTATTGTAAGTACAGAATCTCAATGTAAACTTGCAAAGAAATAAAAATTGTATTGTATTGTATAGGACATACCCCTTAGCTCCGGGACTAGTCTTGTTGCAAACCTCTGCGCTTTCTCCGGTTTACTGATGTGCTTGATCAAGTGTGGATTCCACAATGGTGCTGCATACTCCCATATGAGCCTGACGTACAGTGTCGTGAATGACTCCCTACTTAGATGTCGAAACGCTATTCTTAGGTTTGCCAGACGCGCATTTGCTTTGTTGATGTGCTCCTCAGGGAATGTGTTCGGTATGATATTTACCCAAGGTCATCTTAGAGTGAGGTTTACAGCCTTTGCCCTCCTAGCCTGTACTCCGTCTGTGGTCTTATTTGTCCTCAGGCTTCATAACTTTGCACTTAGTGGGGTTAAACGCATGAGCCATTTGTCAGACCATGCCTGTAGCCTGTCCAGATCCCTTTGTAATTTTTCCTGGTCCCTGTCTGCTTGTATTCTCATTTGTTTCGTGTCTGTGAACAGGAATACCTCTGACTCTATCCCTCTGTCATATAATTCACGTATATAAGAAACAGCACCGGCCCTAGGACTGATCCTTGTGGAACCCTACTGTCACATGCACCTATTCCTATACCTCGCCACGGACCATCACTCGCTGTGTCCTTCCTGTCAGGTATTCACTGATCCATGGCAGTGCTGTTCCTATTATTACTGCCAGCTCCTATAGCTTTTTTTACCAATCTCTTGTGCGGTACTGTCAGAAGCCTTCGTGCACTCCAAGAAAATGCAGTCTACCCACCCCTCTCTCCCCTGTCTTACTTTTGTTTCCTTGTCATAGAACTTCAGTAGGTTTGTAACAGGATTTTCCATCCCTGAAGCCGTACTGGTTGTCATGTATGAAACCACTCCTTTCTAGGTGCCTCACCACTCTTCTAGTACGTACTAGTTATCAGAGGTATTTGACCTGTTGTATGTGGTTTGGTTGTGTGTGGTATGGTTGTTGTTGTTGGTGGTGGTGTGTGTGTGTGTGTGTGGTGTGTGTGTGTGTGTGTACTAACCTATTTGTACTCACCTATTTGTGGTTGCAGGGGTCGAGTCTTAGCTCCTGGCCCCGCCTCTTCACCGGTTGCTACTGGGCCCTCTCTCTCCCCGCTCCATGAGCTTTATCAAACCTCGTCTTAAAACTGTGTATGGTTCCTGCCTCCACTACGTCATTTTCTAGGCTATTCCACTGCCTTACAACTCTATGACTGAAGAAATACTTCCTAATATCTCTCTGACTCATTTGTGTCTTCAAACTTCCAATTGTGGCCTCTTGTTTCTGTGTCCCCTCCCTGGAACATCCTGTCTTTGTCCACCTTGTCTATTCCACGCAGTATTTTATATGTCGTTATCATGTCTCCCCTGACCCTCCTGTCCTCCAGTGTGGTCAGGCCGATTTCCCTTAATCTTTCTTCATAGGTGTGTGTGTGTGTGTGTGTGTGTGTGTGTGGTGTGTGTGTGTGTGTGTGTGTGTGTGTGTGTGTGTGTGTTGTGTCTGTGTGTGTGTCTGTGTGTGTGTCTCTGTGTGTGTGTACTAACCTAATTGTGGTTGCAGGGGTCGAGACTCAGTTCCTGGCCCCGCCTCTTCACTGATCGCTACTAGGTCCTCTCTCTGCTTCCTGAGCTTTGTCATACCTCGTCTTAAAGCTATGTATGGTTCCTGCCTCCACTGTCTTCAAGCAGGCACTGGACAAGCACCTAAAGTCGGTACCTGACCAGCCGGGCTGTGGTTCGTACGTTGGATTGCGTGCAGCCAGCAGTAACAGCCTGCTTGATCAGGCCCTGATCCACCATGAGGCCTGGTCACAGACCGGGCCGCAGGGGCGTTGACCCCCTGAACTCTCTCCAGGTAAACTCCACTACATCACTTGCTAGGCTATTCCACTTCCTGACGACTCTGTGACTGAAGAAATACTTCCTAACATCTCTTTGACTCATCTGAGTCTTCAGCTTCCAATTGTGACCCCTTGTTTCTGTGTCCCCTCTCTGGAACATCCTGTCTCTGTCCACCTTATCTATTCCACGCAGTATTTTGTATGTCGTTATCATGTCTCCCCTGACCCTCCTGTCCTCCAGTGTCGTCAGGTCGATTTCCCTTAACCTTTCTTCATAGGACATTCCCCTTAGCTCTGGAACTAACCTTGTCGCAAACCTTTGTACTTTCTCTAATTTCTTGACGTGCTTTATCAAGTGCGGGTTCCAAACAGGTGCTGCATACTCCAGTATGGACCTGACGTACACGGTGTACAGTGTCTTGAGCGATTCCTTACAAAGGTATCGGAACGCTGTTCTCAGGTTTGCCAGGCGCCCATATGCTGCAGCAGTTATCTGGTTGATGTGTGCTTCTGGAGACATGCTCGGTGTTATACTCACCCCAAGATCTTTCTCTTTGAGCGAGGTTTGCAGTCTTTGGCCACCTAGCCTATACTCTGTCTGTGGTCTTCTGTGCCCTTCCCCGATCTTCATGACTTTGCATTTGGCAGGATTAAATTCGAGAAGCCATTTGCTGGACCAGGTGTCCAGTCTGTCCAGGTCTCTTTGGAGTCCTGCCTGGTCCTCATCTGATTTAATTCTCCTCATTAACTTCACATCATCTGCAAACAGGGACACTTCTGAGTCTAACCCTTCCATCATGTCGTTCACATATACCAAAAATAGCACTGGTCCTAGGACCGACCCCTGTGGGACCCCGCTCGTCACAGGTGCCCACTGTGATACCTCATCACGTACCAAGACTCGTTGTTACTCCCTGTCAGGTATTCTCTGATCCATTGCAGTGACCTTCCTGTTATATGCGCCTGATGCTCTAGCTTCTGCACTAATCTGTGTGTGTGTGTGTGTGTGTGTGTGTGTGTGTGTGTGTGTGTGTGTGTGTGTGTGTGTGTGTGTGTGTGTGTGTGTGTGTGTGTATGTGTGTCTCGGCCTCCCCTGCCTGCCTACCTTGGTCTGTATGCAGTGCATCATGCTAAGACAAAACCTTTCCCATTACTAAATTTATTAATTGTAATATGTTTTGTACTGCCTCACTGTGGTATTATTATTAGTCTGCCCGAAATGCCTAGGCATGCTGGTGGCCTTCTTTGTAATTAATATTTTATAATATGTAAACCACACATTGTAAGGTTTGCATAGAAATAAACATTTTCATTTTCATGTTCATGCCCCAGTCTGCTGTGTCTGCTGTGTCTGCTGTGTCTGCTGTGTCTGGTGTGTCTGCCTGTCTTTGATGGAGGGATGATGGAGGGTGTTTGGGAGGTGAGTGGGTGGGAGGGAGAGGGGGGTTGTGTTGGAGCAGGTGAGGGTGGAAGGGAGG